CTTGTTTAAAGGAAGAGTTAATTGAAATTTTTATGCTAAAAGTTGGATAAACGATTAGTCTAACATTTGATTTTAAAATGGTTAGTATTCAAAATGGATGAAATGTGTTCATACATCTTTTGGTTTTGGGGGGTGGGTGGGTGGGTGGGTGCGTTTGCTTAGACTGAAAAAATGAGGAGTAATAAAATTAGTTATTGATGTGTAAATTGCCACGAGTTTATCTTACCACTAGACATTAGTTTAGTTGTAATTATCTTCTAAAAGATATGTTAGGAAACTGATTATGAATCTAAGAATCTTGTATTGTTAGTTGTTGTAAATGAGATGAGAGCTTCCTTGCCTTTGGTGGTTCGGGGCGAAAAGAGGGATAATCGGAAAAAGTGAAGAAATTAAGGAGGGAGAGGGGAAAAAAGCATGATGTTCTTTCATGAGTGGTAAGAAATGATTCATAGTTGGTATCAATTAATTGAAATTGTGGAAATGTTCAAGTTATGATAATCTGTTCAAGTTTTGGAGAGAGATCTTTGTTGAAAAGGCGATAGTTCATGAATGGTTCTCTCCGTTTTCCTCTCCATTAGAGCGTAACCGTTGGTGAGGATGGTTATATACTCCGTAGAAGCTAAAGTGCTAATCTATCCTCTTTTCTTCTTTCTAACATAAGTTTATTGGGAGGGCTTAAGGTCTAAAACATAAAGCAAGACCATCTACCTAGTCTTTTCATGAGTTTCCTGTCTATGTCAAGGTATGAACCATGGAGTGTAGGGACTTATTAGATGGTAATGAAGAGAATAACTCATATCCTTGTTTAGGAGAGCAATTGATGATTTCTTATACTTTTTACTTGGCCTTAGACCTGCCTTAAATGAAGCAGTTGTTCGGTTAGAATTCTGTAAGTTTCTTTTGTTGCTATTTCTTGCTTTTGTATGTCCGTGGTTATTAGGCAGCTGTATTAAATTTTCTTTAAAGATTTCATTTTTGATGTTTTAATAAATTTAAGTGAATGAATCTCAAGTGTAACTGCATAAAGCGTCAAATCATCAATAAATCTGAAGTGTAGCTGACTAAGATATCAATAAGTTTCTCTTGCTTGTAATCTAACACATCAAGTTCACGCCAATGTTGTGGTTTTGCTTCTGTGCATTTGTGGAGAGAAAATTATAGTTGCAAAGGTTTTGCATGTATTCCATACCTATCCTAGTTTCTCTTCTTTTTTTACAATGGTACTGAGTATGACTAATGAGTTACTATGTGAACCGTAATTGGTGTTAGCTCGATTTGTCTTGTCCTTTTCTTTATTCACAATTTCGCATAATTACTGTATTTGTTTAAGTTATTTTGCAAAATTAACCTGTTTGTTTTATCAGAAAGCTTGACATTTTCTATAATACAGTCTATTATCTCCTTGTTGAATGTTCAGTTTATGAGTTCTCAGTTTGGGTGTTTGCATTGCTTACCAACTGTAATGCCTTGTAATTACAGATCGGTATTGGAGCTCGGAGGAAAATATTGTACCACAGGATTTCAATATTGACTGGTAATACATACAAGGGCTATAGCTTATGCTATAGCATGGACTCACACAAGATTGTGGGATACAATGTTACTGGTGCTGACTCGTCCTATATATCTTCTCAGCATACTTCTTCACCAATTCCAAACAGAATAATTGGACCGCTGAAGTTCAGTTTTAGAAACTCTCCAAGTTCACCATTCTCACCTCATTTCGATTGTGATACTGTCACTACATTGAGTGATAGCCGAGAGCAACACAGCTCGAGTGAGAGTCTCTCAGGAAAAAGCCCTTCATGTAATTCATCCCTTGAAACTACCAGTTACTGTCAAAGGTTGAACTCAAGTCCTTCAGAAGATTCCCATCAGACTGCTGTTCTACGTACTTCTAGTGGGACTTTGTTCGCTCATAAAACAGATTATGAAGTGAACATCAGGCATGCCTTGCAGGAGCTAGAGACTGTTCTTATGGGTGATGAAGCAATAGGAGGAAACCGACAACCCCAAATCCCAAGTCAGAGATTGGGGTCCTGGAACCGGGAGCCACAGGGTTCACTTGGGGCTCAAGCTCAGTCATCATCTCCTTCTGGGGAAAGAAGATCAGAGGAAGGAGGTCAGAGTGAGAAGCGCCACAAGGCTGTTGAAGAAGAAATCCAGCAACTTCAAATTCCTTCTGGCAATCTAAAAGAGTTGCTAATTGAATGTGCAAGGGCATTATCCGAAAACAGAATGGACGATTTTGAGAAATTAGTTGAACAAGCAAGGGGAGAAGTCTCAATCTCAGGACAACCAATACAACGCCTTGGTGCTTATATGATTGAAGGGCTAGTAGCAAGGAAGCAATCATCTGGAAATAATATTTACCGGGCTCTTAGGTGTAAAGAGCCCCTTGGAAAAGATCTGCTTTCTTACATGCACATCCTTTATGAAATATGTCCTTACTTGAAGTTCGGCTACATGGCTGCCAATGGAGCTATAGCGGAAGCATGCAGAAATGAAAATCGCATACATATCGTAGATTTCCAGATAGCTCAAGGAACCCAATGGTTGACTCTCTTGCAAGCCCTGGCTGCAAGACCTGGTGGGGCACCATATGTACGAATTACAGGCATTGATGATCCCGTTTCTCAGTATGCTCGAGGTGCTAGCTTGGAGGCAGTGGGGAAACGCTTAGCAGCTCTCTCCGAAAAGTATAAAATACCAGTTGAGTTTCATGCTGTACCAGTTTTTCTTCCTGATGTCACAAGGGAAATGCTCGATGTGAGGCCTGGAGAAGCTTTGGCAGTGAATTTCCCTTTACAACTCCACCACACACCTGACGAGAGTGTTGATGTGAACAACCCAAGGGATGGTCTCCTAAGAATGGTGAAATCACTAGCTCCTAAGGTAACCACTTTGGTTGAGCAAGAGTCGAATACCAATACTACCCCTTTCCTGACTAGGTTCACAGAAGCACTCAATTACTACTCAGCAATGTTCGAGTCTATTGATGTGACAATGCCTCGAGATAGGAAGGAACGGATCAGCGTGGAGCAACACTGCTTGGCCAAGGACATTGTTAATGTCATCGCTTGTGAGGGAAAGGAAAGAGTAGAGCGTCATGAGCTTTTTGGGAAATGGAAGTCGAGATTTACAATGGCTGGGTTCCAGCAATACCCTTTGAGTTCATACGTAAACTCTGTGATAAGAGGACTACTTCGGTGTTACTCTGAACACTATACATTGGTAGAGAAAGACGGCGCTATGCTATTAGGTTGGAAAGACAGGATGTTGATCTCGGCTTCAGCTTGGCATTGATCATACAGATAGGAAGAAACACAGAATGAAGAGACAGAAGTTAAAAGTAACTGATCAAATTTTATTCTTTTTTCTCTAGAATTCTTTTCACTTAGCAATGACGCCGAGTTTCTGTATGAGATAGTGTGAACTTCTCACCATTGTTGTTTTATGTAGAGATGTCCAATATAGTTGTATTTACAGTGTGATGCAGGGTATTAATGTTTAGGACTAACATATGTGAGATAATAGTTTGTTGTATAATAGGCTACAGTTTATTTAATCCCTGCTTGGTTATCTTTCAGTTACTTTTTCACATACATAGAAGTTTTTTTTTTAAGTACTTCTGAGATATGAAATAAAGCTCAACGTTAACATGAATGCAATTCTATAATCCATCTTCCGAAGCTTTCTAAACTTTGGGACTGATTTCAGTTCGTCTACCCTTCGAATCCTGCATAGTGAAGAGCGCTATGAAAAATAAAGCTCCGTTTGGAACAAGTCAGTATACTATTTTTGAATGTTTAACAAAAGTTGCCGCATTTTAGAAAGAAGCAATGGTTTGTAACTACTATTTTAGACAAAATCCCACATGAAAATTGGATTATTGAGCCCAAAAAGTATTTGATGACTCTAATAGGGTTTAGTGTCACATTTTTTTGTGGGGAAATATGCAAATACAATAATAGTGCTAAGAGCTTGCAGAAGCAAAATTGATCTATTGTGCCTTGCTTGTGTCATAAGGTGGAATTTTAACCAACTACGCAGCACAAACAAACCAACAGGGTAACTGACTAACTGTAACAGAAAGCAAACAACAAAAGAAGAGACAATAGGACATGATCTTTACCATTTTCGTGTAAGGCTATACATATCAAAATAAACTAAGTTTAACAAAAGTAAGGTTCATAATTATCCATTTTACTCCCTAGATCAACTAAAGCCCTAAGCAAACTTCAAGGGACTAAAGGGTGCGACATACTCAACTGATTTGTATTTATGTGAACTTTATTGTAATTTATTTTTATTTGTAATTTAAGTTGAATTTAGGTAATATAACTCTTATTAACCCTTATTAGACTTTGTCCGAGGTTAAAGTGAGTTATTAACATTTATGTAAACTATTCTAAACCTATTCATCCTACAACAAATGAAAATAGGTAAATAGAATTGGGCCTAAAGGGAGAATTTAGATCACAAGTCTTCACATAGTTGGTAAGATTGAACCAATGATTTTAATGTGGTATAAAAGGAAAGAGAGCAAAACATTACACACATATCCTAATAGATCCCCAAAATTAGGGAAAAATTCATAAATAATAATTTATTACCACCTATTATTGATATTGAATACTAAGTACCCAGAATCTCAATCTCAGCCTCAAAATGTTGCGTTGTTACCCTCAAACACTTATTAAGAATTCTAAATCAACCACATTCAAATGAATCAATCCATCGAATTCACGATAATTTTATTCTGTACTTAGTAATAAAACTACCCTATATGTATTTTTTTTAAAAAAACAAAACTACTCCCTATATTTTTAAATGATAACAATGTTTCACTCTTTGGCTCTTTCCACAATTTTAGATCAATACTTAAGCATAAGTATTTTAGAGCACTTATAATTCGAAGATTATAATTGTGAATTAAATTACACAAATCAAACCAAGATATTATTTTCATTGGAATTAATAAAGAATTCAAATAAGATTATACATTAAAAACTTAGAATAAAATCAAGAGTCTATATAGGAATAGGATCATCTATTTCCTTCAGAATCAGCTTCATAATCACGATCTTCCCACGATTATTGAGGGACACCCCATTATCACGTGACACATCCTTTTTCTAAATTACTACTCCGTATTATTTTTAATTAATAAATAAAAATAAAATAAAATACAAAAACCAGATTTTCTGCTTTCTACAAATTTGAGACAAGGCACTATAAATAAGTACGAACTATTCACAAAACATAACCCCAAAAAAACCCCATACAAATTAACAATGCCCTCTCAAACCCCCGAGGTACTCGGGGATCTCCAACAGCCGTTGATTCTCCCGGCCAATGGGAAATCCAACGTCCCAGAGAAGCTCACCATTGATGAGATGCTTCTTAAATATTGCGGTGAGTTCGGAAGGTGGCAGCTAAGACATTTCGTTCTAACGAGTTTAGCTTGGGCCTTAGAGGCTTTTCATACTATGGTTATGATCTTCGCTGATCGCGAGCCGCGGTGGTGGTGCACCGGGCCGGGCTGCAGCCCGGTCCAGGCCCAGGTTTGTGGGCTACCATCGGGCTCGTGGGATTGGGTTGATGGGCCCGGTAGCTCGACGGTGGCCGAGTGGGGGTTGGTGTGTGGTGAGAAGTATAAGGTTGGATTGGTGCAATCTTTGTTCTTCTTCGGCTGCATGATAGGTACACATAATATTACTCTCCTTATCTTTCGTTACTTTAGTTCTATCTTGTTTTGATATCAAATTTAAGTATTTGGTGATAAATTGATAAAATCAATCCGTTGCCAAGTAATAATAATAATAATAATAATAATAATAACAATAATAATAATAATGGATTTTTAGAGTATTTGATTCTTTCTTCAAATTATTATTACTTCCGATTTTCTAGATTCTGCCGACTTATTATGTAACTTAGTCAAAATTACATGATTGTAACGATTTTTTAACGTTAGAGTTTAAAAAAAATATTTGATTTTGTTGAATTTGTTCTAAATATGAATTTCCAAAGTGTAATATTTTCTTAATTAATTTTTAATAATATTGCATATAATTGATGATGATCGTCAAGATGTTAATTGGAATCGATTAAAATGCACATGACTACTTCACTAGATCTCATGAAAATAGTAAGAGTAATTTAAAGAACCATTATGAAATAATTCCTGCTACTACTGTTGATTAGATAATCTTAATTTCTTAAAGTCCTAATTAATACGGAGTAAGTTTTTAAAAGATGGTGCGAACAACAGAACAAGTATAACATGTTATTTAAGTACAATTCAATTATAATAGAATTGAAACTTAGGGAATACTTTAGATCAGAAATATGCAATATCAAATACTCTTAATTGAGTCATATCACATTCGAATGTTTGTATATTGCTTATTTTAAGGGTTACCAAAACAAAATATGGTTTTTTTAAGTAGTTGTTGGTCCCTTTTGTTCCCGCAAAATTTGCTATGAATCGAACGATCGAGTAATTAATTTTCTAGGATGATATTAAATATTACTCTGTAATTGTTAATTGCTGTTCACAAAACTATACATAAATTGTATTACCCAACATTAATTTGTATAAGAGAATATGATTTGATTAGGGATCTTGTTTTTTTTGCCTAGCAGAATCTAGCTAATAAATTAAATTAAGATAGATTTTAGTCCTAGTCGAAAGTTTAGAAGGCATGTTTGCTCTCTTCTTGTGACCTCACTACGGCCTTTTATAATCTTTTTATAAATTAAGTACAACCCATATGCTAATATGTACTTTAATAGCTTAATCCTTGTTTTAATAGGTCTTTGCATAATGAATTAATGGAATCAATTTGAGCGGGTTGGGTTTTATTATCAAATTGACTCATTTTATATCAAATAAAGTACCTCATGAAACAACTTTTTTTTTTTTTTTTTTTTTTTGTTTGAGCCACCGTTAATTAATAAATGTGACTATTGTTCTTAAGAAATATGCAGAGTATATGTGTTACTCTGTACAAACTTGCAACCTAAATTCCATTTGAAATTGCATCTCACATGACGTTCTATCCCATTGCACACAACCATCACAAGTACTAGAATCATCAAATTAAAGTTGTTTCACTCTTTACTCTTTCAATCCCTAAACTAGAATATTCCATTAGAATGAAAGTATGCTTAGTTTATTTATTTTAAGGAAAAAGTAAGCTTGGTTTGGATGTCTTTTTACATATGAACAAGTAATCGTCCAAAGTTATAATGATGCTACCAATTAAACTTAAGCATATTCCTTTGTACCTTAAAATTCCATTGTTTTGCAAGTTGGACATGTTGGCATGAACACTATGTTGTGCTTGTGCTTGCTAATTCTATGAAGTCAACTTCAACACGTTCAAAACTATGGGGCCGAGTGAAAATGTTTATTCCTTGGACATTTTTTTTGACATCATTCTTTAGACATTTAATATGAAGTACTTTATTCTAGCTCATGATAATTTAACGTGTTAAGTTTATTGAGTGCTTAACTATAAATGCATAATTTCTTCCACAAATTAAACTATCATCATGAATTTATGTTACTTATTGTATGGCATTGGCTAGACATCTATTGTTTGATTTGGTGATAAATTAACAATGTCAGAAGATAGATCCACATGATGCACGTTGTATAAAAAGACATGTTCCTTTAGATAAGCAATAATGAATAGTCTTGCTATTTGCTAATTGGAATTATGACATATTTCAACTTCTCATTTTGTTATCCATATATGTGTTATCCCTTGTGTTTCAAGTTGATTGCAATAGTACGGTGGACATGTAATTTGAGTGAAGGCCAAAGAGGCAAAATGGGGATTTACATAAATATAAAGGACACTTAAGGGCTTTTTTTTTTTTTTTTTTTTGGGGGGGGGGGGGGGTGGCTTGAGGGTGTTTCGGAGGCAGGGGAATTCTTAGAGAATCACCACTCCCATTTTGCTTTAGTGAGATTAATCCTACAACCTTATAGTTTTAAATAAATGCTCTGTATAAAATAATTGTACTACTTAAATAATTGACAGAGAGAATAAAATCATACAAAGTCGATCTTAAGAAAAAGGAAAAAAATAATCATATCCTAGGGGAAATCCTAAAACTAATGTGGAGTTAAAAAAAAAAAATGCTTCAAAATTGTTTTTTTCTTTAAAAAAAATGTAACGATTGACATGAAACGAAGTGTTTCCATTTTCTACATGATGAGAATTAGATAAGTAGCTAACTGGTTGGGTTATGGTGGATTGGTTGTAAAAAACACACGTCAATGTACGCTACTTTGTTATATTGACGGGTGTGACAAAATGAACATCTTCAGTCATAGGCTTTGTTTGGGAGTTAGCTGTTAGCCGTTAGAGATTAGCTGATTGAGTTAGCTGATTTAACTAGCTAATTGTGATAGCTGATTTGACTAACTGATTATATTAGCTGTTTGTGTAAAACTGTTTGGTAAATAACAATTAGTTGTTAGCTGTTTTAGAGATAAAATAACCAAAAAGTTATAAGCTCTTCCCAAAAGCTCCTAATATGAGTTTTTTGAAAAAGAGCTTTTTCATCCCAAAACTCTCTTCCAAACATCTAACTATCAAACACTTTAGCTTTTTGAGTTGGTCAAACCTCTCTTTTTCCCTCAAACCTCTAACTCCCAAACACCCTCATAATGAGATAGATATTGGTCATTTGGTCGTACTCGTTAAACTAAAGTCTAAAGATTATGAATCCAACTGCAACTCATAGTCGGTACTACTCATTCCGTCTCTTTTTTTTTTTGTTTGCTACATACTCTATTTGAGCATTTTTTATTAGACAGTTTTCATTACATGAAACCGGCCTAGTATCAAAGATTATTACATGAGGACGGCCTAGTATCAAAGAACTGTTAAGTTTCTTAAATAGATCAATTGAATTGGGTTTGATATGGGTTAATATGTTCCGTATTGACTTTAAATGACGAATCATTTGGTTATGTTTTGTTATAATCACGAGATTTGGAGATTTTGAATGATTACGGCTGCCTGCTAGTGGTTCAATACTTTTAACTGCATCTAGCCACTCCTGCTAGTAGCAGGAATTTGTATTTATTAAGGTGGTCACAAGTTGTACCGATTGCATGACTCATTTCTTGTACAGTTGTACTGATGTACTATACCTTAAATAACACCTTATCCTAAACAACATGGAGTACAAAAGTATATTCGAATCAAGATTATTCCATACATTGCCAACATTGACTCAATTGATTAACTTCAAGATTATTCCATAAATTGCCAACATTGACTCAATTGATTAACTTCAGTTTTTTTTTTAGGAAAAAATTCACTGTTGTTGGGTTTAATTTAGGCTAGTTAGTAGATTTTGATCATTTGGCATTACTCATATTGTTCATCTTCTAGTAAGTTAATATTCCTTCGAAAATATATGAGACTATGAAGAGAAGTGACAAATACATTAGGCTCGATTTATATTCATTCGCTATGGGTCATGTTTAGGTTTAAACTAGATCGATCTATTAAACAAGTCTAGACATTTAATTCTACAGACGATAAATCAAGATATCTATGAAATTTTTGGATTGGATCAATGTAAATTAGAATCTTGTTGTCTTTGTTGATTGGATCTAGTTTAGACAATTTCGATAAGGCTAGCCGAATATGGTTTAAGTTGGCTAGATCTAAGTTTGATTCTCGTGAATTAAAACTACTATTCATGAATTGTAAGCATGTAAATTATTTAAAAAAAAAAAAACGTACTAGTATAAGTTAGAGGCCTATCGAGTGGCTTATAGTTTTCCATGTTCAATAAGCAGTCCATCACATGCTAACTTGTTAGGCTGTTACTCCGTACCAATATTACAAGATTGCCTATTATTGGTTTGTGCTCCTTTGTTTGCCTCCTTTTGTCTGCTTGCTAACTCTTCACTTAAGTGGCTTTGGGTTTGGAAACTAGCAAGTGGCTACATATCAACCTCGTTTGTGTTAATACTCGAGTCCGAAATTAACATGTTAAATGAGTGTAACGTTAATAGTGTAATTTGAACTACTAATTAATAATATGTTAACAGATTTCGGACAAACTACTTTATTTGTTATATAGTGGCATACATGCTCAATTTCCAATATGAAAAAAATGTAGTCTCATTTTGATTGCAACTTTGATTAATCTACAGGAGCAGGAGTCTTCGGTCATCTCTCGGATTCATCTCTAGGAAGAAAAGGCTCACTAACCATAATATGCCTCTTGAACGGGATCCTCGGTTGTCTGACCGCGCTTTCTCCAAATTACGTCGTCTACACCCTCCTCCGGTTCTTGAGTGGTCTTAGCACCGGTGGGGTGGGCATGTGTGCATTTGTCCTAGCCACCGAGCCCATAGGACCAAGTAAACGTGGGGTTGCCGGTATGTCCACCTTCTATTTCTTCTCAACGGGCATTGCTCTCCTCTCCGGAGTTGCCTACATGTTCCCATCATGGCGATCCCTCTATGTTGCATCCTCGATACCTTCCATCGTGTTCATCACAATCGTTATCCCTTTCCTCTCGGAGTCTCCTAGGTGGTACCTTGTACGAGGAAAAACCAAGGAAGCAATGGAAGTCATGCGTCAAATGGCACATTCTAATGGCCTTATTATCCCAAAAGGCGTGGAGCTTACCCTAGACGATAATGCTAACAAGAACAATGATGTCGGAATTCTTAAAGAGGATTCATTTCTTGAAGAAAATGAGGCAATGAAGGGCTCTTTAATAGATGTCCTAAAGTCACCCATCACAAGGGTACGCCTTTACTTAGCCTTTATGATCAACTTTTGTTGCGCGGTTGTGTACTATGGACTTAGTCTAAATGTTGTTAATCTCGACACCAACCTCTACCTCAATGTACTTCTCAACGCGGTTGCTGAAATGCCTGCCTTCACATTAACCGCGATTATGTTGGATAGGTTCGGAAGGAAGCCACTTACAATAGGGACAATGTGGTTTAGTGGGGTGTTCTGTTTGTTAGGGAGCATGATGAAGAGTTATGGAATATGGAAGAATATACGTATGATAAGTGGTATATTAGGGATTTTTGGTATGGCAGGAACTTATAATTTGTTGTTTATTTACACCGTAGAGTTGTTCCCCACGGTTGTACGAAATGCTGCCCTAGGATGTGTTACACAAGCGTCTCACATGGGAGCAATTTTAGCCCCGCTTGTGGTGGTGATGGGTAGCACATATCCCTTCATCGTATTCTCGGTTTGTGGAATCGTTGGTGGTTTGCTAGGATTTTTTTTGCCTGAGACGTTGAATCGGCCTTTGTATGATACCATGGCTGGTATGGAGGAGGGAGAACTGGAGAAGCCAGATTTTGAGCCATAAATACAATTTTTAGCAACTTAAACTATACCCCCAACTTCTTCTTTCTTTCTTCTGGTGAATGACTAATATAATATAGAGGAGTAGATTTATGTAGTATGTAACATCTTTTTGATAGTTTTAAGTATGTCTAAATAAATAATTACCATTACAATTCAAAGGTGTACTCATCAATAGAGGAGTAGATTCGTTGGCTTTGTTGGCTAGTCAAGTCAAGTCATTGGCATGCATTACGCACTTAATGTAAGGCAATGGCTGTCCTGAAAATGATTGGATGAGGTATCGCTAGATGCTATTGGCAAGAAGTGTACTCCAATGAGGTATTTATGCTCATGCACTTGGTAATCTATGGTACTTCCTTTATAATTTTAACTTTGAAGAATTTAAATCTGTCATTCTATGTCCTAGCATATAAAATATTTTAACTAATTTAATTATCTAGGTAAGAGTATCTTTGTAATCCATTTTCATACCCTTGATTGGCCTTGATGATAGGGGAAAAATAGAGTTTGTATAATGGAATATTGTAGATGTTTGATGCTAAACTTATACTATTATTATTAAAGCTTTGGTCTCCTAATCTTAAAGAATGTCCATTAGTTACTCCTTTTATATGTCACTTACTATTTCCCCGTTTGTTTTTTTAGGGAAACTTTAACCACATATTCTCATTAATCTACTTTATATATAAAGAAATAAAAATCATTTTAATGCATAAGCGTGGTCTTAGAACCCATAAAAAATAAATATGATAAACATTGAAGGACAAAGGGAGTATGTGCGATGTATGTATAGGTCTCGTTACCTTAACTAGATTTAAAGTTATTGGGGTTGAAAGGGCTATCAAAGGTTGCGACTCGGGTATAATGTGATTGACTGATTACATATTGGAAGTTTTCATGCAAGAGATTAAAAATTTTATAGCCATTTTTGGGGCTTTGTCAATAAAACTTTGTTCGATGCTAATGGTTATGTGATGACTAATGAGATCAGAGTAGACTAATTTTAAATGTGGGTGCTATAATTAAAGTACATGAATGAGCCAGGAAAAACTTAATTTTATAGTGAAATCTAAATTACGTTTTTTCTGGCTCATTCATGTACTTTAATTATAACACCCACATTTAAAATAATTCTGCACAGATCTTTCAATTTCTCTAACATTGAATGTGTAACACCCTTAAAAAAAACCCTTATTTTAAAATCCCCATTTTAGCCTTTAACAAAGTCAATTAAGAACATTAATAAAACATTACCGTCACTATGATGACAACTAAAATATTTTTTGAAAGATTGACAACGAAAGACAATTTCAATACCTTTTAAATCTTCCGAGCTTAATTCAAAGTCTATTTAGCTTAAAAGATAGTCAAAAGTCAAACCAACTCAAATGAAGTCAAATAAACCAAAATCAAATTAAACAAATCAACCTACAAATTGGATTCATTATACAAGTAGGTCTTTCAAAACCAAACCAATATTTAAAACCAATGGTCGTTTGTACCGATAACCAACAAAAATAATAATAATAATAATAATAATAATAATAATAATAATAATAATAATGAAATTCATATAAACGAGTAGTAATGAGAAAATTCTTCTCTCTATCTGCGGCGCTTAACAAAACATGAGATAATAATGATGCATCCACATGAAATATTTATCTTTATTACCCCTTCTACTCACCTTCGAAATGGGTCATTCAAGACAAAGACAAGGCAAACACACACAATACGAATCTGTAAAGTAGAGTACATAAACATATAATGAAAACACACACTAACATGATGCATCTTAGCAATAGCAATAAACTTACTAGTAGCTAAATAGACCAACACCTAATACCAAAGACTCATAATTAATTTTTTTATACTTTTGGATTACTCATAGAATGACTTTTCCCACTGAACTGCCCTATCAAAGTGAACTAGCAACGGGAGCTAATCGAGCTAGTATAAATAAATTGGCCACTCATAAAGTGACAGACGTTCCTGCATACAATAATAAAGGAAAGTACGTCTTGTACCCCTATTAAAAGTCATAGTTAAATTAAATATAAACGTAACACCCTAAAAATTTCCTTCCTTTAAAAACCTTGTTTTGCCCTTTAATGAACTCGACTAATTGAAGAATTAACTAAAACAATCACTACTAGAAAACAATCAATTTTCAATGGACATGAAAATCCGTCGAAAAACACGAAACTTCCTACATAATAAATATCCACCGAAAATCCGTCGGAAATTTCGGACGGAATTTAAATCCATCAGAAAATACTTTATTTCCGACAGGATTTCAGTCTGAAAGTACATATTTTCCGACAAAAATAACTTCCGTCGGATTTCCAACGGATTTTAAATCCCTTTTCGACGGAATTAACATTAAAAAGACCCACAAAACCCAAATTTAATGTCAGCGCAGCCGCTCCCACCCCCTTCATTTCCTGTGGTGGATTAGGGTTTACGGTGGGGAGTGGTGGTGGGTAGTTGTGGATGTGGGCAGTAGGGGTATGAGTAGGGTAGGGGGGTATGAGGGTGGGTAGGGTTTTAATTTATTTAAAAAAAATTACTGATTGCCAAAAGCCATCGACAATCTGAAAAGTGAAAATACCGACGACTTTTGACCATTGGAAAAAAAACCGATGGTTTTTGCCATCGATATTTTAAAAAATTACGATGGTTTGTTGCCATCAGTAAAACCATAGGTATCAAGTTTACCGATGGCTTTTTCATTGGTATTTTCGACGAATTGTTATCCGATGGCGGATATCGTTAAACGGAATACCGATGGTTTTTTTTATACTTTTACCGATGAATTTTGACAATCGGTATTTCGCTCATTTCTAGTAGTGGTTTCTCCTTTCTTTCTCCTCTTCTCTGATCTCTTTCTCTTTCCCACACCCTTCTTCTCTTTTCTCCTCTCCTCTTCTCTCATCATTCCAACATGTTCAATCCTCTTCTCTTCTCTCCCCCTCTTTCCCACACCCCTCTATCTCTGTCACGCCCCCTCTTTCTTTCTCACGCCCTGCTTACTCTATCTTAAACAAATAATGGTGGTGGTGCTAAACAGATTAATGTTTTTTAGGTCAAATTCGACCATGAAAAGTATAGATCTAGACTTTTCATGGTCGAATTTATTGGCCTTATTAAATCAAATCAAGATGAAATTCAAAGCCAATTTCAGTTATTAAGGTATTTTTTCGTGATTTTAATTTTTAACTTTTGTTTTTGTTTGTTTTTTTATTTTTTTTTATTTTGGGTTGTGGCACCGTGGTAGGTGGGGATTTGGTGGCTGGTGCCGTAATGTTTGTGTTTTTTTCTTTTTTTGGAATTTGGTGGTTTTGATTTTTTGTTTTTGTTTGGGGATCTGTTACCGTGGATCCAGTATTTGTTTTTTTTTATTATTTATTTATTTTTGTCGTGGTGGGTGGGGATCTGGTGGGTTTAGGGATTAGGTCAGTTAGGGTATGGGCCGGGGTGGGTAAGGATCTGGTGGCTGGGGTTTTCGGGGTTGTTAGGTGGTTGTTTTCGGGGTGGGAGCGCGGTTTTTCAGGGTGGCTGGGGTTTCAGGTTGCCGGTTGGGTTTCTGGGGTGGTTGGGGGGTTTTTCGTGGCAGTTGGGTGGGGGTGGGGCTACTGTGTAAGGCGGTTCGTGGTGGGTCGGGACTGCCGGGGAACTGTTGTTGTTGGGGTTGGAGGTGGTGATAGGTCGTGAGAGTGGTGGTGAGGGGTGTTTTTTTTTTAGGTAGGATTTTTCGTCAGAATTTCCGGCGGAAAACAGTACGTCAGAAATTTTCGACAGAATTTTCGGGCTGGAGAAATCATGTCCGACGCCTTTAATTCCGTCAGAAAACCATTTTCAACGGAATTTCATTGGAAAATGTCATTATTCCGACAAACACATTTCCAATAACCATTTTCCAACGGAATCCGGTGGGAAACAGGTTTTCCGACGGAATACTAGGTGAATCCCACGGAATTATTCCGTCGAAAATAGGTTGTTCTCTTGTGGTGATTTCTGCCACTATGATAACTGCTTAGACATTTTATCAAAGACACATAGCGGAAGATTTTTCAAAACAATTCAAAAACAAAGTCAAAGTGCAAAAAATACCATCACAAAGTCAAACTAAGTCAAAATAAGTAGTCAAACCAAAGTAAAGCAGAGTCAAAGCTACAAGTTGGGACCATTGTAGGCCCTAAAAACCAAATTAAATCGATTGAATGAGTGTTTCAAAATCAATAACACAAGTACCGACAGTTAATAAAAATATACACAAACAATAAAGTTCACATAAACAAGTAGTAAGAGAAACATGATCTCTCCGCTCCATCTCCCTGCCCCTCTTTTTTTTAAGACAGAAACATTATGGTTAGTTGTCAACGATTTAACATTATTGGATTATTATAGTGTATTTCAACAAACAGCCTCAAAACCAAACAATATTGAAAATTTGTCAAATTTCAATATGTTAAGAAAATTGTAATACCAAAAACTTTCCCCAAAAATCTTTACCTACCTAAAACATATATAATCAATGTAATCTATACACTACAAAAACAATCATTTTGCAGTTTGGCGGGGGGAATGGGTTGTTTTGGGGGTGGGAGAAGGGGGAGGGGCTGGGTCGGCCGGGTGGTGGGAGGGGCCAGCTGACAATTTTCGAGGGTTAAGGGGGGGCGGCCGGCGGTTTCGTTGGGGTTGGGGCTCGGGGCTAGGGTTTAACAGTGAAGAAAGGGTTTTTTTTTTTTTTTAAAAAAAAAAAAAAATGGATCAATCACGACATGTATACACGTGTCATGATTACTTGTTATAATAGGTCACTGATCGCAGTGGCGGATACAGGTTGGGTTCAAGTAACCCACTGATTTTTTTAAAAAAAAAAGAAAAATTGAAAAGAATAATCCCACATTTGGCACATCTTCTCAAAATAATTCACCTTTGCGTATTCCAGAAATAATCTCACCTTTGTACCCTATATTCTCAAAATGGTCCTTTTTCATTTATTGACCGGTTGATTGAATCGGTAACCTGTTTTAAAAGGTTATTTAACACGTGTCACCTTTTAATTGGGTTTTATATATAATTTTTTTAAAAATTAAAGAATAAAAAAAAAAAACGCTTCTTCTTCCTTCCCCTACCGGAGCCGCCCGCCGACCGGTCGGACCCAGCTGCAGTGCTGGACAGCCGGCCAGCCGCCCTCCCTTTCTCACTTCCCATTTCCTTCCTCCTTGCATTCCCACTCTCTCTCCTCCATAGAAAAAGACAATTTAAAAATTAAGACAAATTAAAAATTGCAGAAATTTGAGAGAGGAAAAAATCCCAATTTCATCATCTTCTTCATCAAAACTACTGTGAATTTCTTGCATAAATCCACCATTTTTGGGCAATTTATAAACTACCCTTTATTTTCTCTCTCCTCCAATGCTTACCAGCGTTCGATCTTCGAGCTTATACAGTAGCATCGATGGACTATCCCTGTTCTTAAGCGGCGGAAATGGCGGAAAGAGGGGATTTGGGGTGGGGATTGGACATGGCAGCCCCTTCCCCTTCCTTCCTCCTTGATTCAGGTGGGGTTTTGGGGTGGGGGTCAGTTCGGTGGCGGGTGGTGATGTAATGGTGGTGGACATGGAGGAATGGGGTGAGGTGGGAGATGAGGGATTAAAGAAAAAAATTTAAAAATAAAATAAAATCTAACCTGTAAAACAGGTTGAAGGTAAAAAGGACCATTTTGAGAATATGAGGTACAAATGTGAGATTATTTCTGAAATACGCTAAGGTGGAATTATTTTGAGAAAATGTGTCAAAGGTGGATTATTCTTTTCAATTTTTCCTAAAAAAAAATTAAGAGTTTTTTTTAAAAAAATAAAATTAAAAGTTTTATTAAAAAAATAAAAAATAAAAATAATAAACGAATTAAATAGAGTAGTTTCATAGTTTTTATCAACATGTTAGCGTGCAGCCCAGGGGTATTTTTTTGGTGCGCGTCCTTCCATTCCCTAACAAGGAAGTCAAGAGCTCGAACCCTCTCAACCCCCAGTCCGCCTCCTTGGCTCGTCGCTGCTGTACGGCCTGACCCCCACGGTACTTTATTTTGCTCCTCCTTGCTAGTTGCTACTCTACTTCAATACTTAATTCATTTAATCAGATTTATCTATTTTACATTCAATTGATAATTCTTGTTTTGCTAATTAGAAATATTATACAAGTGATTGAATAATTGATTTGTTGATTGTAAATTTGTAGAGTTAGAAACTTAGATTCTTGGCTGTTGGGGTTTATAATTGATGATTGTTGTTAAATTAATTTGATGTCTTAAATTGCCATTTTATTTGTGTGAAGTTGATTTATCGTATGAATGTTGTTTGATTTCAGTTTGTAAATGAGTTTAGAGTCTTTTTGGAAACGTGCGGGGAAGTCACAAAAATCCTCTGCTTGTTCTTCACCTAGTTCAAGGGATCCTCTTATGTATTAAATCTTTAATTAATGTATTTGCGTTCCTTTTTTTTTCTATTCCGAACCCACTGTTCGAAAATCCTGGATACGCCACTGACTGACCGATTGGTACTGTTGGAAGAAAGCGCATATCAAAGTTCGAATAGTAATCGAAAGTTGGGATTATTCAAAATAAATTGCCCAAAGTTAAAATTATTAAAGTGAATTTTTCCTATTATATTAGAAGTACAACCTTTGTCATTAGAATTATTACTATTATAATCCTGCATGTTGTATACTTTATGTTATACTAGGTACGGAGTAATATTTTACAGTGTGAAATCGAATTAATTTACTAAGTCAATATATCATATATTGAATATCTTTCATGTTTATGTCACAGAGATTTTTTTATGTCATTCTAATACATAGTATATAATTCCATTATTATAATTCTCGTGCAGCACAAGTGTAGATTAATTTTGCCATCTCAAGTAGGTTGTCAAATATTAGGAATTAAAGTCTGCAATTGGCTCATCAGTTTTCACGTGTAAGCGTCCTAGTATACTATAATCAGTTAATAACAAATAATTATAATTGTATCAAAACACAATTAACAACAAGATTCCAACTTATATAAATTGGAACACTGCAACTTAGTAGAACGTTATAAGTTATGATTTAAAGATAAATTCAACATTAATATTCCAAGTAATTAGCATAAAACCCTCTAAAATAATGCCTACTCAAAACCTCCCGGAGCTTTGGGATCTTCGACAGCCGTTGGTTGTCCCGGCTAATGGCAGATCTAATGGGCCAGAGAAGTTAACCATAGACGACATGCTCCTAAAATATTGCGGCGAGTTTGGTAAGTGGCAACTAAGACATTTTGTATTAACAAGCTTAGCTTGGGCCTTAGAGGCTTTTCATACAATGGTTATGATCTTTGCTGACCATGAGCCGCGGTGGTTATGTACTGGACCCGGTTGTCAAGTACAAGCCCAACTTTGTGAGCTGCCACCGGGCTCGTGGGATTGGGTTGATAGGCATCGCAGCTCTACCGTGTCTGAGTGGGGGTTGGTGTGTGGTGAGAAGTACAAGGTTGGATTGGTGCAATCTTTATTCTTCTTTGGTTGCATGATAGGTACATAACATATTCTCCCGTATCTTTAAGTTTGTTTGTTTGGCTGATCTTTTTTTTTTTCTTATTGAACTTTTTCACCCATTCATCTTATTCATGTTTTGCTCAATTTATTAGGTGGGTAAATGAAAAAAAAAAAAAAGAAATAAAAAAAATAGTGAGATTTGATTGATTAAAAAGTGAATTGAACAAGAAGTTAAACTATCATTATGGTAATGCAACACTTCTACTAGTATAATTGAAAATATTGTATTTTATGTTACTCGTATTATGTTTTTATTTATTTCATTCTTCTCACTTATTTTTAAATTTCATTCTTCTCATTTCCTTATGTTAAAATTAATTAAGGGATGGTTTTCTCCATCGCCCCTCCCCAGTGGTTGGGGGGTTCGATTCCTCACCTAGCCTTTCCATTCCTTTGATAAGGTGGGGGGTCAACCTTGTATCTTACTGTATAAAAATAAAATTTAAATTAATTATTAACTTGCTATCTTTTAAATATAATTCTATTCCTCAATGAATCTCAATTAAAAAATTATTAATAAATTTAATCACTACAATACAACAATGTGCTAATGTAACTGGTGCAAGTTACGAGTACAAATACAAAAAAAAAAAAAAAAAAAAAAAAAAAAGAAAGGGGGTGGGGGGAGGGAATATGCATTCAAATTTTCAAAAAATCTAATAAGATTGTTTTTGTATTAGTGAACATATAAAATAAAATACTTACTCTGTTTTTTTATAATTACATCATTTTCCTAAAACGGAAGTTTCACATTAGTTGCATCACTTTCCTCTTTAGTTAATAAACTCTCTCTATCTCTCTCCTATCACATGAATCAATTTTATTTATTCTCTCTATTTCTCCTATCTCCAAAAATTATCTAGAAGTCTGCGATTTGCAAAGTGATGCAACTTAAAAAACAAAGGAAGTATATGTAATATTTAAGGTAAATTAAGTCGAGTCGAATCTATAATGTACTACTCCAATGTTTAAGGCTTTGAGTCCTTTGATTAGGAATTGTGTAAGGTGCGCCAATGGAGGGACACAAAAGCACTTTTGTATTTGTGGCATGCTGACTGCTGTAAAATGGGCCGGCCTTTACAAATAGCTGCTTCCTAAATCCTATCCACTGTCTTATGTTTTTGGGCCAAAAAATTTGGGAAACAAAATAAAATTCATCTACTATTGTAAAATGAGTAACTATTTTATGCGCTATTTCAGCCTTCCAAGATTTATTTTTTTGTAACCAAGATGCTTATGAAATAACAATAGCAAGCAACTAAGCATACACTTTCATCCTAATGGCAACTTTAATCATTTTCAGGAGCAGGAATATTTGGCCATCTCTCAGATTCATCACTAGGAAGAAAAGGCTCGTTAACCATAATATGTCTATTAAATGGAATCCTCGGTTGCTTGACCGCCTTCTCTCCAAATTACGCCATCTACACCCTCCTCCGATTCCTAAGTGGCCTAGGCACGGGTGGTGTAGGCATGTGTGCCTTTGTCCTCGCCACTGAGCCCATTGGACCAACTAAACGCGGTGTTGCTGGTATGTCCGCCTTCTATTTCTTCTCCGCTGGCATTGCACTTCTCTCAGGAATTGCCTATGTTTTCCAATCTTGGAGATCTCTCTATATTGCATCGTCGATACCTTCAATAGTCTTCATAGCAATCATTGTTCCTTTCCTATCGGAATCACCTAGGTGGTACCTTGTACGTGGTAAAACAAAGGAAGCAATGAAAGTCATGCGACATATGGCATTGTCTAATGGTACGACAATACCACAAAACGTCGAGCTTATACTAGACGATGATGCTAACAAGAGCAACAACGTTGTAACACTAAAAGACGACGACACACTACTTGAAGAAGCAAGAGAGGTTATATTAAAGGGCTCTTTACTAGACATCCTAATGTTACCAATCACAAGAGTACGCCTTTTATTAGCTATTATGATCAATTTTTGTTGTGCAATTGTATATTATGGACTTAGTCTAAATGTTGTCAATCTTGACACCAACCTCTACATTAACGTACTACTAAACGCAATTTTTGAACTACCATCTTACACAATAACCGCGATAATGGCTGATAAGTTCGGAAGGAAGCCAGTAACAATAGGTACAATGTGGTTTAGTGGGGTGTTTTGTTTGTTAGGGAGCATAATAAAGAGCTATGGAATATGGAAGAATTTACAAATGTTATGTGGAATATTGGGAATTTTCGGTATGGCCGGAACTTATAATCTAATGTTCGTTTATACGATGGAGATGTTCCCTACGGTGGTGAGGAATACGGCCTTAGGATGTACCACACAAGCGTCACAAACCGGAGCAGCACCACTTGTGGTGATGATGGGTAGCACATTGCCCTTTGCCGTGTTCTCTGTATGTGGAATTGTTGGTGGTTTACTTTTGTTTAATTTGCCTGAAACTTTGAATCGGCCTTTGTATGATACAATGGCTGGTTTGGAGGAAGGTGAGGTTATTTTGAGCAATACATAAAGAGTTTTAGTCCCTTTGTTCCCTCTTCTTTAGTTCAATGTCACCTTTTTATTTTGGGTATTGGTTAATTTATATACTCTATCAGTACACTACAACTGTACAACCTTTAAGGCTGCATATAAAAGTATATAATACAACTCCTATATTGATATTAATTTAGGAATGCATGATAGAAGCACACTTTAATTAGTGTTATTTAAACTTAATTTTATCTTAGGATTGTAACTTTTATCTTCTTATATGCAGTCATAAGAATTGTATATATCATTTCCTTGTAATTTTTGTGAGAATGATTTGGTCATTTGGTGATTTATTGCCTCAGAATAGAAATGTAGAATTGAATCCTTAATATCTACTTGTTGACAATGTCAAGCATAGCGTTTCAATTTTCAAAGTTGCAAGTTGCAATTTGATTAATTTGTGTATGTACTCAATTCTAGTTCATACTTGATAATTGTAGATTGCTTCATAATAAATTGATTGACGGTAAACATTATTTATGAAACAACCTAAACCAAAATACAAAGTAGTTCATAGCTTGTTTATTGGACTTTTTTTTGTGTAACCATTGATTTTCCTTTCATTTTTCAAGGTAAACTGAAGGATGAATTTTTAAATGCGTTAAACGCAATTAAGTTATAGAAGTTATCATTCAAATGAAGTTTAATTTGACGATAAGTTAATATTTTGTGTTGTGATTAAGATTGAGTACTAATTGGGTCAATACTCAATTAATTAAATATGAAATAATCAAGTTTGAGTTATTTTGGCTTATGCAGTCATTACATTAATACAATTATGTATTGTATCTAAAATTCTTTTTACAAATTTGATCAAGAATCATGCAATTTGTAAATTTCTAGCCCAATTATTCTTATTAAAAGCAACCATCATAATCCCATTAAAGTTGTAATTTGGGGATTTATAACAAAAGAATTATGGGCAAGATGGAATTATGAATACAATCTCCACAAAAGAAATTTAGAGGACGTCATAAGAAAGAAAATTCAACTCCACCAATCACCATACACTTTCTATGGGACCAAATCTCTATATAACTTCACTGTTTACATGGCCCTCCTAAAGATTCGGTTCCAATTGTTCACAAGGAGCAAAATCATCACTCTTTTTCTATCGTTTTCAAGCTACTCTTCCAACTACATTATTTCCTATATATATATTAAAAAAAAAAATAAAAAAAAAAATCAATCACAAGTTTTCACCCTAAATCACACATTAATAAAGTACCATGCATTTACATATTCACACAAAGAATGGGGAGGCCATATATATCTTTAGCTGAGATTTGTTAGGGTACAAATTGCCAAATCCAATCACCCTCCATTTAGGTTTGAATTCGAAACTAACTTCTATTATTTGAATTTACAATTTGGTTGATTTACTATGATTATTATAATTATTATTTTTTTGGTGTGGGAGAAATTTCTTTTAATATACAATCACTCTTTGAAGTAAATTGGCTTTTCATATATGATTTTTTTTTTTTTTTTTTTTTTTTTTTTTTTTTTTTTTGCTTGATTGGTTTAATTAGGTAAATACAAATGTTCATTCAAATAAAAAAAAAACGTAAATACAAATGTGACTCTAAAATTATAAGTTTACTTCTATTTAGTTGTTAATGATGAGGTGATAGCAAAAGCTTTTTTAAGAAAATCGATTAAAATTACTCCTAAGATATAGTCAAATTTTATTTTTTCAATCCCAAGATATAGTCATCTTAAGCAAGCAATATTGCAACATTACTAGATATTTTGAATCTTGGACAGATGAATGCATCTAAAACTTTCACTTTGGTATTAATATTACTCCTCTTGCCTTATACAATATTATACATTTATGCTCATCTTTTAATTTTGAACTTGCGCTGAATGAGCAAATTGTCCAACAATGGCTAGTAAGAGCAAAATCAAATTGTCCATTTGTGAATATGAGCATATTGAGCAGCCGATTGTACCTTATAAGATATAACCGGTTATATGGCATATACATTGATGAATATATAGTTTTCAACATTGCGTGGGATAACTTTCCTCAAATAAGCAAAGAAAACTGCTTGACATATTCACAAATGGAAGGAGAACAGTAGCGCTGCTATTCATCCACCAAATTCACTTAATTACAGATCTCACAAGGTGTGATTAAGATACAAAGCGGATAATTATGATCAAAACATGAAAGGAGCTGCAGAAAAAGCTGAGAAGACCATCGGAAGAGGTTCTCGGCTGTTAACCATACAATATATGAAATATGTTAGATAAAATTAAGATCCATGATACCAAAATACAAAGTACTATTTAAACCACGTAAAATTTCCCATAAAACATCGCTAATTAAACGTAGCTTGTACTCCCTCTGTCCCTTAGCGCGAGTAGACAACATTATATTATTGTAAGTTTTTTCAAATTAAAATTAGACTCGTTACTTTCAATAAAATAACGTAGCATAATATCTCATATAGTCATATTACATCAAGTGATACCTTTCATCATCATTTTGAAATAAGAAAACATTAGTATGGTACAAAGTATATAAAATTCGTGCTCGTTATTAGCAGATTAATTAGTGGCATTACTTAATTTGAACCTTCATATATCTGCTGTCTTTATCATTCTAGAAATTTTCTTATACATAGTTAAGGCTGCTAATTATGTATTGGTGCAATTATTTGATTGGATAAGGATAAGAAAGTCAATTGTTTTGCTAACCTACCTTGTTTGACTAATTAGACATCGCAACTCTCAATTTGATCTGATATAGTAATCTAATACTCCGTACTTTGTATAATATTTAAGCATACATGCCAATATTTTCAGCGTGTTGTAGTTTTGAGAAAAAACGAACCAAATATTTTCGTATATCCTTATTTCTTTAAAAAATTATAAATACAAGTATGAAATAAACTTTAATGGACAACTTGATGAACCCTTTAACAATTTTTATCACTTATACGTAAAATTAGTTCATCAATCCCCCATGATTCATGATTTAATACTTTATCATTTACACTTGATACTGAATCCTGTGACATGTTAACGTTATATGAACTGGCAACAAGAAAAAGTCTACTATATTACACATTTTCATCATTAATTAACTCTTTGTGCACATCAAAGACGGATTATGCTCGTAAATATGTCAACATCAAATGTTTGGTCATGTGAAAAGGAGATTAGAATTACATGAGAAGAAACAAGTCAACAAATCAAAGTGAGGTACTCCATTTTTTTATGTCAATAAGATATATTGAATTATTTTTGAATCATATGCAATAGGTGTCTATGTATGATTTTAGCATGATGACTCAATGCCTTTGATTTATCCTTTATTATATTTCAATCCAATTATTCGGCTCATATTATTTATAAAGTATGAATGCTTTTATTTAATTCTTGGAGAATTTAAATCATTTTGACTAGTTCAAATGACAAAGTGAAAGAAAAAATCTATAAATATTTTTCTTTCTAGTCTAGAGAAAAATGTTGAAATCAAGTGTAGATAATAATCTCGAGGGCCTTAACCATACCATAATATATAAAATATAAAAAATAAAAATAAAAACTATATGTAAAAGGACTTGTAGAAAACGTTAAAAACATATTAGTTGAGTAAAAGGTTGAAGGTTTAAACCTTAATCCACTATTACTATTTTTTATCGGCAACCTAATTGTTTATCAAATCTTACATATTGTGACATGTTAATGTAATCTGATCCACATATGAATGACAAACTAACTAGAATTTGCATATCCAAACAGCTGATTGTATCCAACTGTCATAACATATCCGATATGAGGAGTATCTACACAAATTTCCATTATTAGTATTAAAACAAACAAGTACTTCCTCCGTTTTTTTTTATTGCATCATAGGGGTTTTGGAGGCAAAATTTGGTAGTGGGAAAAAGTAAGAGAGAGAAACGTAAAAATACAAAATTGTCCATGTAATGTAAGATAAAATAAAAAGTAAATGTGAAAAAGTAAGGGTATGTTGGGTATTTGCAGTGTGAACATAGATATTTTTTATCCTAAAAAGGAAATGATGCAATAATAAGTAAACTTCCTAAAGTAGTAAGTGATGCGATAAAAAAAGAACGGAGGAAGTATTTGGAATCACCATCCCAAGGTCAAACCTTCTCCACTTCCTTCCAAAATATATCCACCAAAACGCTAACAAAGGCGCACTACATAAAAGTTGATAGATTCTATTTTCGGGACTATTCTCTTCCACATTTTACTCGTGCTAAAATAAACCTACTAAGAATACTAGTTTTTGGACATGTAAATGATGTAACACACAAAATTTGAGCTATCTCATTTTTATTCACAATAACAGAAAATTAAGAGTTTTAGAGATTTTTAGTCTTTGATACATGGTTATAACTTGTGATTTAATAATAAGAAAATAATACAAAATGTACTTATTTAAGAAAAGTCTCATGATGCCAATATATATATGGTAATGCACTAATGCATGCATAAAGCAAATTTGTGTATAGTAATCTTTGTGGTTTTCTACAAATTCAAATACAGAGTACATATATCCACTATCATTACACATGGAGTATTTTCTATTTGCACCAACCAAACAACTTGTAAAATACGTATTATTTTTATTTTTATAAAATAAACCTTGAAATGACATGAAAATTACAAAATAATTTAATTAATTGATTAGTACATCATTGTTTTCATATTAATGTTGCCTTGTTATAAGTGGTTTGCTCATCTTCTCTCACTATAGTAGTTTTCTGAACTTATAGTTCTTGTATTATTAGAAGTTATCGTTTCTTCCAACTTGGCGATGGAGAAATAATTCAATTATGATGTGAGAGGTTCTTAATTTCAACAAGAATACGACAAAATTATTAGGTAGTAAGTTTTGTACAACAAATATATGCACACACAATTAGGTTCTATATTGGGTAACTATGTTTAAAAAATAAGGTAACACTCACAACCTTTGTTAACCAAATAATAACTTCCGCAATTTATGTTGATCATGTACTTATGTATGTGTTTGACACTATTGTCACGTTCAACCTTTCATATGCGTGTTACCTCACATATATCTACATTAAATTATTTCATGCTATATGGAATCCAATTTTTAACTACAATTTGTAAAACTTAGAACTCGTTCTAACCCTTATGACACGAAAATGATGCAACAATTTACAAGAATGACTTGTTATTGAGATCGGATGCATATATTTTGTCCGTTAGCATTGACCATATTTGTTAGCTCCTAAGATCAGATAAAAATTGTCAAAAAAAGATCAGATAAAAGTTCAATTCAAATCAAGTGAATTTCAACGAATTAAAATCTAATTTAATATTAGATGAAAACGACCAATAAAAGGATAGGTTTAAATAATTCATTCATTTTACTCCAACTAAAGACATACAAATGTTAATTACAGTTGTTATTATTATAATTATTATTATTTTTTTTAATTGAGATGATGAAAACCAATTTTTTTTTTTTTATTTAAAAAAAAAATTATAATGATATTACTATTAAATTATAATGTCAAGGAAGGGGTTAATGATCCATACCCAAAATTATCATGGGAGCGAGAACGAGCATTGACCTCGACCGAGGACGAACCACACCGCTTGACATTCCTCGGAGACGCCGGTTTCCGGCTAACCGGCTTCTGCAGAGTCACCGAGACAGCGTTATCCTCCGATATTGCAAAAAGCGAGGGCTTCCAATCCGCCGAGGAGCCCCTAGTGGGAGCTCGTTTACGACGTCGGTTAACAAGGGAGCGTGTCTCCTCCGTCTTCGGGGTCGGAGGAGACGTAGGCTCCTCTTCATCATTAGAAGAAGAAGAAGGGTTTATCATGGTGCAACAAGTTACACATTCAAAGAGAAACCTCATCTTCTTTTTTAGTCTTTTTTGTGTTCGTTTAGTTGAAGAGGAGGAAAAAAAAATGAAGGGGTGGATGAAGTTATATATTGTGAATGTTTAGAGAGATTTCATTAAATGTTGGTAAATCTTGGTGATCACCTTGATTATGAAATTATGATTGTATGAAAGATTGTGAATTTTTTGAGGATTTTTTATTTGCTTTAATAATAGATCAAGATTTTTTAAGTGGATATTACTTTTCTTTTCTTTTATTTTTTACAAAAAAGAAATGTAAAGTGTGTGTTGTAGGATTGGTTCGAATTTGCTATCAAGAAAATGACGTGCTACAATATTTAATGATCTAGGGCCTGCTTGGAAATTATATTTTACAAAATTAATTTTCTAGATAGAGAAAACTTAATTATTGGGACAATTTTCTTAATAAAACAAGTTTAACAAGATTACAATAAATATTGTACATTAAGATTTAAGATATAAAGTTACCTTAAAATAATCAAAAGTTACCTTGATACTTTGTTTAAATTCAAAAGTATCATATTTTTATAAAATAATGTATTGTACTTCTCATTAATTTATGTTTAATTTTCTTCGTTTTTTATTTAGTTGCAACGTTTTGACTTTCACCCATTTAGGCCAATGCTTAGTTTCAACCTTTTATATTTCTAAAATTATAGATAAGTAAGAAGTTTTTTTTTTTTTTTTTTTTTTTTTTTTTTTTTTTTTTGAGAAAAAGTAAGAAGTATTTTAAAAATAGATATTATGAGAATACTTCGTATAAAGTGAGATGAATCTACAAAAATCTCACATGTTTATAAATTAACAAAGGTGGTTAATAGAATAATGTGAATTGTGTTAATTTCTAAATGTTACAGGTAAAAGAGAACGAAGAAAGTTTATATAAAGGTGATCGTATAACACTCTTTATCAAAAATACCCCTTATAAATCACCTCTTAATCAATTTACAATGTAAAAAATCATAATATCACATGGCTAACCTAATTTAAGCAAGCTAAAAGTTACCCCAAATTTGATTTAGGGTGTGTTCTGTTCACCTGATTTTTACTTATCTGAACTTATCTGAATTTATCCGAACTCATCTAAACTTAACTGAACTTATCAGAACTTATTAAAACTTATTTTAGTTGTAATTTGAACTTGGGTAACCCTTATCAGAACTTATTTTTTCTGAATTGGACTTATTTTTCCTGAACTAAACTAATATGAACTTATTAGACCTGAAATAAGTGAAAATAAAGTGAACAGAACAGGCCCTAAGGGCTTGTTGTCTTCACCTTATAAAAATAAGTTCAGATCAGTTCAGATAAGTTACAATAAGATCCAATAAGTTTAATTAAGTTCCAATAAGTTAAATAAATTCTAATAAGTTCCAATAAGTTCTAATTAAGTCTAAAAATAAGGTCTAATAAGGTCCAATAAGTTTCAATAAAGTCCAATAAATTCTAATAAGTATAATATGGTCAGATAAGTTCAGATAAGGTTAGTTAAGTTCAGATCCAATAAGGTAAAGAGAACACACCCTAACAGTGTGTTTGGATAAAGAAATTGAAAAGAAAAGAAGGGGAGGGTAGAAAGATGAGCTTTCCTTCCAAATCTCTCCATTGTTGGAGAGATTAATTTCTTACAATTTAATTTCTCCATTCCCCCCCCCTCCAATTCCTTTCTTTCCTCATTTGTTATCCAAATGAAATCCCTCCATTTTTCTTCCCTTTCTTTCCCTCCATTTCCTTCAATCCAAACACAGTGTAAAAGTTAGATTAGTAATTTATTTGTTTTTGCTAAGCCTTTGACTTGGTTTCTTGCTTAGCATTAATTTAAGTCAGTTTATTTATTTCAAATCAATAATTAATCTCTTAGGATTCAATCGACCCTTAGCTTACATGCCACTACATAGTAGGAATTGTTAAGTATCAATCTTGAGTATACCCGGTATAATCAATGCAAAAGTGTTTGGAATGTTAGTAAATTTGAAATTTATCATTAAACTTGTTTGAGGATTTATCTTACACTTTGAGTATATTCCTTGTATGACTAAGTCAAAACATAATCAAAGATAAAATGAAATAGTACGGAGGTAATAATAGAGTAACTTGGAGGATATGGCAATGCTTTGGAAGAAAGCTGTTTTACTCATATACTTGGAAGTAGTTGTTAGGTGTTGTAGAAATGTAGACAGGATGGAATCTCTGACCTATTGACAATAATAATTGTGTTATTGGTTGTATGAAGTTAACAACTTCGTGCTGTTATTGTTATAGTATTAAGTTCCGTATCTATCCAATAGCGTTACATACTTCTTCTTTACAGGTGACATATTTCATTTAGGCACGTTTGACAATGTTGCACGCTTTTAAATGCAAATATATTTAATTATGTATTAGGAAAAATTATAAAAATTTGATATTTAAAAAATAGATGTTAAGAAGAATCTAATGAGATCTCACATATGTATTTTTTAGCACTAAATCACAAAATCAAGTCAAAATAAGTTATGTGAGTTATGTAAATAATGCACAAAGTCAAAATGTATCCACTTAAAAAAAACGAAGGAAGTACGAAATAATTTAATTTCATGTTAGTGATTATTTTATTTATATAGTAATTCGGTTTCTAAAGACTACATATAAAAATTATATTTAAATCATCAAATGGTAGTACTGGGTAATATATTTAGAAAATGGAAGACATTATTATGTATTAATCAGTAAGACACGAAAAATATTAAAGACTAATCTAACTACATATTAAATAAAAGAATTAGTTTATATAATTGTAAAAAATGATCGATGTCACAGTTGATTCGCCACGTCGATTTAGCCTAAGGAGTATTCGTGAACTGAGAGAGTAAGGCCAAATTAAGGATGCGATTTGATTCGTCACGTCGGTTTATGAATTGCTAAACAAATACTTATTGTTAGCAATATAATTGAAACCAACATTAGATAGGCGTTGTTAAGTAGATTTATCAGTCACCTAGCTAAATAGTTGTACTGCCTTCATATCAAGGGAACAATAACGAATTTTCTTTTGATTTGTTTTTTGTTGCTTGATTATTGCATTCAACCTTCAAAACTAATAAAAGTAAATTACATTTAATTTAACATGAACGTGAAAAGCTACATGTGAATAGTTCTTTACTTCCATTTAAGATATTATTTGTGGACAACAAAAATACCATATTCATTAGGTTAGAAATTGGACAAGAAAATGCCGTGTTAAATAGGGAAATACATGGGTGTAATTACTCTCCAGAACAATAGTATCCAGGTTTTACGTCAACTTAAATTAGCTTGATTCCTATTGTGTTTGTTCTTTTGAAAGGGACTTGAGTGAATTTCTACTAATTAACGAATTAAATTCTTTGTTTTCATGTCCCTCCAGGTGTGGATGATCGATGGAGCATTCACAAACATGTGCCAGCTCACACATCGCACACATTGCATACTCCTAGGTACTATCGGGTGCACCTACGACACTTTTATAGTTCTATGCGCGATTAAATGTATGTGTAACACGTTGTGTCAGTTGTGTGTCTAGGACTCTAGGGTGTGTGCATTATAATCGTTAACGTGTATCTTTATGATTTCAAGTATATCTTAGTGATTATGATTAGGGGTGTACACCGGTCCAAAACCAGACCGGACCTGGACCGGACCTGTTTGGACCGGGGACCTGAATTGGGTAATTATGAGGACCGGGGACCGGACCTGAATTAACAGGTCCGGTTCCGGGCCAGACCTGAAAAATCAGGTCCGGTCCGGGTTTGGACCTGAATGGACATGTTTTGTGTCTTTTTCGTTTTTTTTTTTAATACAAAACCTGTTGGACCTGCATATGGACCTGTTTTGTGATTTTTAGACCTGTTGCATAATTTAATAATTACATACAAGCCAAAATTATCAATTACAAAACTACATAAAGTCTATAAAGTCCCGATTCTCAAACACCAAAAATACAAATGAGTCCACCGAAAATACAAATAAGTCCACGAAAACTCATAAAATTACATAAATTCTCTTAAGTCTCAACTCTCAAGTACTAGGAATACATAAATTCTCCAAAGAGTTGTTTTCCCTTTGATCGCGTGATTCACACTAATGAGTCCACGAAAACAACTTCATCGTCTACATCGTTAGATTCACCACGTTGCACCTCTAAATAAAATACAATATAGAATATATTAATGATTGATAACAATGAAATAATAAATTTAGTGTAACAAAATTTCAAATACATAAAATTATTACTACCTTTCTCTATTTCCTCTAACTCTTTCAAATTTTCTTCCACATCAACAATTGGCACTTCCTTAGCTCTAAGCCAATCTTGTGTGCAAAGTAACGCTTGAACCATCTTCAATACAAAAATATTACACAAATATGTATAAACAAAGTCATATTAAGATATAAACAAACTTGATTTTATAAAATAAAAAGATAACGATGCATTACCTTAGGAGTTAAAGAACTCCGAAATGGATCTAGAGTACGACCTCCCGTACTAAAAGCAGATTCCGATGCAACGGTCGACAATGGGATGGCTAGTATGTCACGTGCCATGCGATTAAGAATCACATAACGCTGACCATTCTTACCCCACCATGTCAATGCATCTTGTTCTTCCTCCTCCGGCCCTAATTGATCATTTAAGTACCTATCCAACTCACTTATCGCATACCCACTTGTCCCCTTCAATCGTTTTGCTCTTTCTTTTAGTTTCCTCACATAATCGGAACCCACTCCTTTACTATTACCAATATCCATTGACATATTATCTCCACAATCTGGAATATTAGAAGTAGCATACATTTTTCTATATTCCTCAAATAAAGAGTAAGCGAACTCCTTCACATCATTAGCAAGTTTTGTATCCTTTTCCGGTCCATGCATATCCGTTAGTGTCAATTCAACAATGACCATCTTAGAGTGAGGGTCGAGAAGAAGAGCAACATAAATGAACTTATTCATCTTATCCACATCCCCCCAATACTTATCAAACTTTTTTTTCATTGCAATGGACATGGCTTGAAAATTCAAGTCCTCACTTTGTTCCCAATTATTCAACATATCATACATAGAAGCAATTTCTCCTAAACCTTTATTAGCTGTCACATAATGGGAACCAGAAATTCGTTTAGTTAACAGATAAAACCCCTCTAGAAACAAAACC